ACGCGCAACAGAGACAGGCCGCGCGCGCTCGCACTCGGGGTCGTGCGGACGAAGATAGGACCAGGAGATTGGGGGCGTGGGGCGTGCAGCGGCGTGCATATGTATGTGCGTGGATACATGGGCGGAGAGCGGGCGTAGCCAGGGTGACGGTGATTGGCGACCCAAGGCCCCAAAGCGGCGCAGACGGGGCCAGGGCGAGATGCGGCTCGCGCGTATTATAATTACCCGCCCCTCGGCGCGGCGGGCGTGGGCGTGGGCGTGGATGCGAATGTGAATGCATGGCTGGAGAAGATCGAGCGACGGATGGACGGAACGAGGCATTCATGCAACAACCGCCTCTCCGACAAAAAAAAATGGAGGCTGCCTCTCCTGACGGCGGGCGCACGTGCGAGGCGTCGATAGTGGGAGGGGGGGGGGACAGCGAGGGCGCGGCGGGCGATTGGCGGGCCCCTGGCTGATTATAGTCGTGGTCGGCTGTAAGTGCTAGTAATGCCAATACCGGACATGGTGGCGGCAGCGGTAGCGGTAGACGAGTGCGAGTGCCACACATGACGCCGCATCCGGCCTTCTGGAACGGGTGGTGTGGCTGTGGCTGAGCCAGCGCCGGCGGCTGTGAAGGGCATGCAGGCGCGCAATCTCCCCGTACGACCTGGCGAATACTTGGGCGTGTCGACTACCGAGCGCGCTGACGTCGCGCCCACGGCAGGGCCCATGGCCATGCGAGGATGCGAGGATGCGCATCCAGCACTGCTGGCCAGCCAAAAAAGAAAGCCAGGCGGCCGTCATGGACGCGCGCAGTGCATCAGGACAGGCTTCCTGGCAGTGCGCAGGGCCAGGGTACAAGACTTGTTTGCATGCAATAAGGCACTGTCCACGCGCCAAGCCTAGCGCAAGACGGAAGTCGGGTCATGGCCAGCGAGGGCGAGCGGCCAGCTGCGCGACAGTGAGAGCGCTGACGCCCGCCGCCCCAGACACTCTCACGCACTGCGCTGCCACCAGCCATTCTGCTGCACACACACACACACACACACACACACACACACCACACACCACGCACACCCGCCCTCCCCTCCCCCCCCCACACATACACCACCCATACACACTCATCGGTGCACGCCACACATATACACACACACACATACACGCCCATTCTTGCTGCACCCCCCTCCTCCTCCCTCCCTCCTCCCGCCTCTGCCAGCTCGGTTCCGCTGCTCTCCCTGCGACGGCCGCTGCCCTGGTACGCTACATACGCAATCTCCCCAGCCAGAACTCCTCCCAACCACCACCACCACCACCACCACCACGCCAGCCCGCCGTCCTGGACAAGGCCACATCGGCACCGCGCACGCTGGCTTCTCACGCTCCGTCAACCTCTCCGACGCAGCGCTCGGCGAAGGCTGCCTCTTTGATGAGCGTCACCATCCATGAGTCGCAGATGATGCTCGCATATGCCTCGGACCCCAGCGACCGATCCTCCTTTGCACATGCCCTCACCACCTCGGACAGGTCACCGCCCCCCAAAGACGCCCGCGACCCGCTGCCCAATGGCACCCCGCCGGCCATGAACGGCAAGCTCACCAATGGCCTGCATCCCGCCCCGGCGCTGCCAAACGGCCGTCCGACCAAGCCGGCTCCCATGGACATGCGCCTCGAGCACCAAGACGCCCACCCCGACAGCCACGCCAAGTCGCCCGACACGCAGCGAATGTCGAGCGAGCGCCCCAGCAGAGACGACGGCTACTTTGCCTCGGTGCACAGCACAAAGACCAAGGACCGCTTCTACGGCAGCACAACCCACGTCGAAATGGGCCACCTCGACGCCGTCGACGGCACAAAGGAGGCAAGCAAAGACTTCCACGTCTCCCACGCTCCCACGTCGTCAACGTCGTTGCCCCCGTCCCACCCCGACGACGGCGGCGCGTCCAACCTGCGAGTCCCAACGAACCAAGCCCACCGCGCCTCGTCGCCAGCCGCCTTGACCCAAACCGCCGCCCCCGGCCCTTCACAGCACCCCTACCGTCTGCAGCAGCGCCACACACTCGAGGTGCCCAAGGCGCAAACATCGCGCCCGCGCGACTCGCAGAACAACACCGACGACGTCGTCAGCGCAAGCGGCCGCTTCTCGCCCAACACACCACACCGACGGAGGGGCTCCATGTCGCTCGTGCGCAGGACCACACGCTCCATCAACTCGGACATGCCGCCCGAGGAGGTGCCCCAGGACGAAGAGGCGGCGCGCTGGGCCGAGCACATCCGCCAGAAGCGGGCCAGCAAGCGGAAGCGCAAAGAGGACGAGGACGAGGATCGCGTCGTCGTGGGAACAAAGGTCGACCAGAACCATGTCAATTGGGTCACGGCCTACAACATGTTGACAGGTATCCGCTTCACCGTCTCGCGAACAAACGCCAAGATGGACCGAGAACTCACCGACGCCGACTTCGATGCAAAGCACAAATTCTCGTTTGACATGTACGTGCCGGCCGGCTTTCCTCACAAGACGAAGCACCTGCTCGAGTTCAGCTTTACTTCGTCTGCCAAGCCCTTGCACTCTCCCCCCACCCCTGCTATCGTGCTGACCAATCCCGCAGAACTGGCAATGAGCTCACGCCTTCGGCAAAGTACGACTTCAAGTTCAAGGACTACGCGCCATGGGTGTTCCGCCATCTCCGCACCATCTTCAAGCTCGACCCGGCCGACTATCTCGTATCGCTAACCAGCAAGTACATTCTTTCTGAGCTCGGCTCGCCCGGAAAGAGCGGCAGCTTCTTCTATTTCTCCCGAGACTACAAGTACATCATCAAGACCATCCACCATGCCGAGCACAAGTTTCTCCGCAAGATCCTCAAGGACTACTACACGCACGTCCAAGAGAACCCAAACACGCTTCTTTCCCAGTTTTACGGCCTGCATCGCGTTAAGATACCCTACGGACGCAAGATCCATTTCGTCGTCATGAACAACCTGTTTCCCCCGCACAGAGACATCCACCGCACTTTTGATTTGAAGGGCTCAACCATTGGCCGCGATTTCAAGGAAGAGAACCTCGAGACCAACCCCCGCGCAACGCTCAAGGACCTGAACTGGCTACGCAGAGATCAGCATCTCGAGTTGGGGCCGATTAAGAAGAAGATGTTCATTGAGCAGATGCAAAAAGACGTCAAGCTGCTCCAGCGCCTACACATTATGGACTACTCGCTTCTCATTGGTATCCACGATCTGGAAAAGGGCAACGAGGAGAACCTGCGGGACAAGACGCTCAAGGTCTTTTCGCCCGGCGGCGAGGAGGCTCCAGAGCCAGTACCCAACCAGCTCATGCGCACGCCCTCGAAGCTGGAGAACGCGCGGAAAGCACGTGAGTTGAGGCAGATGGTCAAGACACAGAAGCCCGTGCCCATGGGCCAAACGTCAAGCAAGATGCCGGATGAGCTAGAAGACCCTAATCGGAACTTTTACTTTTACTCGGACGATGGTGGCTTCCGAGCGACTCACGAAGACAACGCCCCTGGCGAAGAGATATACTATCTTGGTATTATTGACTGCCTGACACATGTAAGTTTCGGAATCACTGCACAGTCCCACCTGGCCCTTGGCTAATTTTGTCAGTACTCCTTCATCAAGCGCATGGAGCACTTCTTCAAGGGCCTTGCTAATACCGAGTCTCAAATATCCGCCATTCCCCCTGAGCGATATGGAGACCGCTTCATCAAGTTCATTAGCGCCGTCACAAAGACCAAGGAAGCTGCTGAACGTGAAAAGACCGAGGAAGCTGCCAGCCGCACAAACGATGTCGCGCTCGATGGCGTCAGTGCAAACCCCCAGCAACGGCTATCAACTGAGCGTGTCATTGAGAAGGCTGAGAACCAGGCTGAGCGGTCACGGCGGCAAGGCCAGAATGAAGAAGATGTACCTAATTTCCATATGAGGGCAGTACGTAGCCCATCTGCAGAGCGAGGGGAGGTGGGCACCACACTTCCGGTTGTTGAGGAAGCTGGCGAGTCGTCGAGCGTTGGTGGACACAGCACCCGCAGTGCCTCGGACAGCGCTGTTGGTACGAGTGAACAAAACGGTGAATCGGCGACGGCGCAGTCTACAGGTGCATCATATCTTGGACCACCACAACTCCAGATAAGGGCCAGGTCAAAGTCGAGAGAAGGAGATCAGTCTGTGGGAATGGCACCACCAACACCACCAAAGGAATCTGGGCGTCCTCCTACGCCTCCAAAGGATGATTATATATCCAACAGGCATTCTGGACCTCCCACACCACCAAAGGAAGACAAGAGCAGGGGCATTCCCAGGTCATCACTAGACAAGGACCTACCGCGAACCCCTCTGGAGACGACGATTCGTGTCAACTAAAACTAAAAAAAAAAAGAGAAACACCGGCAGACAGATGCTTTCTTTCTCTCTTCTTTACACAAATGTAATTCACGATTCCCCCTCCTTTTGTCTTTTTTTTTCTCCATTGTTTGTTAAAGAGAGAGAGAGAGAAAGTTGAAAGAAAGAAAAACTGGCTTTCCACCCGGGGCAATACCGAAGTATCCTTGTCCTCTTTCTTTTTTTTCTTTTTTCTTGCATAGGACCCTCGTCTCTATCCCATCTGTCAATCAATCTATCCATCTCTTTCTGGTTCTCTCTCTCTATGTCTGTCTTTCTCTGTCGTAGGAACTGGAAAGAACAAAACTTCTTCTCCTTTTCTTCTCTCTTCATTTCTCTTCTTTGTTTTTTTTTCTTTTCTTTTCTTTTTTGTATCAACCTTGTTTCCTCTGTCTGTCAATCCTTTTATTCATCCATCATCATCATCATCATCATCATCAGCCTCGATATTATATATATATACATCTCTCTCTGACTTGCGTCGCGAATGCATGATACCATGAGCAAGAAGCCGTCCGTCACCCGCCTGTTCGTCCGTCCGCCTGTCTATCTGTCTGCCTGCCTGTCTGTCTGTCTGTCTGTCTGTTTGTCCGTTCACTAGTGGGGAGAGGTCTTTATATATATATATATATATATATTACAGCATGGAATGGGGAGTAGAAAGGGGGAGGGGAGGGTGTTGTAAGAGGAGGAAACAAAACAAGACAGTACAGGAGCAGGAGCAGGAGCAGGTGCAGGACAAAGGGGCAAAGGGGCAAAGGAGAGGCGTCTCTTTTTCTTGTGGGGGGGGGGGGGAACTCGGTCGTCGAAATAATTTTTCTTTCGCTCTTATAGTTGGTTGGTTGGTTGGTTGGTTAGTTTTTTTTTATTTGTCTTTGGTAAATCACAATATCATCCATTTCCTTTGTTCTCTCATTCGTATTCTTCTTGTTCTTTTTTTTCTTCTTCCCTACCTACCTTGGTTTTTTTTTGTTTTCCAGTTTTCAAGTTTTCATATCTTTTTTTTTGGGGGGGGGTTGTTTCGGCATTTTCGCGCTTCTTATTATACACTTTGTGGCATGGATTGGATTGGATTGGAGGAGGGGGGGGCTGGGAGATATTGGCAAGTATGGGAAGTATGTGTAGATGGATTAAGAGAGAAAGAATAAAAAAAAAGAGTTGGAAAGAGAGAGAGAGAGAAGGAGAAAGAGAGAAGGAGAAAGAGAAAGAGAGAAGGAGAATGAGAAAGAGAGAAGGAGAAAGTAGGCAACTAATCAGTTAGTTAGTTAGCTAGCTAGCTAGTTAGTTGATCTATTTTGAATCGAGCAATCGAGCAATCACCGGACTACAGGAGAGGATATGTAGTAAGAAGTGTAAGAGTAGTAACCAAGGACATGTATGTATGTATGTATGTATGTATGTAGTAAAGGGGCTAGCAGAATCATTTCTCTCTCTCTCTCTCTCTTTCTCTCTCTCTTCCTCTCCATCTATCTATCTATCTATCCCATATCTTCCAATCGGACAAATATCTCCACGTCTAGCTAGGCATATTGATCTAAGCAACTGAATTTGATTTTTATTTTCTCTTAGTAGGGGGAGTACAAGTAAGACTAGGAGCAAGACTACTAAGTATTCATGGACGGGGCAGGGTGGGGTAGGATAGACAAGATTCCCATATTTCAAACAGCACATCATTTTCAAAATCATCTTTTTTCCTCTTCACTTCACGTTATATATTGCATATTCAAAAGTACGTGGGGTTGTGATAGGCATTCTGCCATGTCATCAAGATTAGACGCCCCCCTACCCCCCCAAAAAGGAGGCCTAGTCTATCATAGTGTACAATGCTGTTCACTTGTGCGGTGCCTCGTCCCACCCTCCCCCATTACACTCCCTCGGACATGGACAAGCTTACTTGTAAAAGTCGAATTTGTCTGCTTCGGTTGCTCCCTTGACCTGGCTGGTGTATGCCTCCTCGAGATCGCTCTGGATGATGTTGTACCTGTTCTTGCGGACAGCCCTCAGACCGGCCTCTTGCATAATGGCGGCGATAATGGCACCGGATAGGGGATCGTTGCGGACAATCAAGCTGTCGAGATCGACCTCGGGCGACAGACTCATCTTGCCAGCAATCGTGGAGAAGATGAGGCGGCGCTCACGACGGTCCCGCAGCGAGGGAAACTCAATCTTGCGGTCCAGACGACCCGGTCGGAGCAGCGCGGGATCTAGCGTATCGGCTCGGTTGGTGGCCATGATGACCTTGACGTTGGATGTCTGGTCGAAACCGTCCATTTGGTTGAGCAGCTCGAGGAGAATACGCTGCACCTCTCGGTCGGCACCCGTCTGCGCGTCGAAACGCTTGGTAGCAATGGCGTCAATCTCGTCGATGAAGATGATGGATGGCGAGTTCTCGCGCGCCATTCGGAAGACATCGCGGACCATACGCGGGCCCTCGCCCAGGTACTTTTGCACAAACTCGGATCCTACGACGCGAATGAACGAAGCGGTTGTGCTGTTGGCGACAGCCTTGACCAACATGGTCTTTCCGGTACCCGGGGGTCCGTAAAGCAACACACCGCGGGGCGGGTCGATACCAATCTGCTTGTACAGGTCAAAGTGTGTGAGGGGCAGCTCGACGGCCTCGCGAATCTCCTGCTTCTGCATGTCCAAGCCTCCAACGTCGGCGTATGTGATGTCGGGCTTCTCGTCCTGGCCCAGCATGGCAATGGACGAGTCGGCCTCGGGAGGCAATATGTCAACAAGGGCATTTGAGTGGCGGTGGAGGGCGACCGACGACGATGGCTTGAGGAGTTCACGGTCGAGGGTGGAGAGGATGCGGACGACGTAGTTGGAGCCGGTCGACGACTGCACGATGCCGGTGCTGTGCGCGTTAGCATGGTGGCGCAGGCGCTGCATGGCGTGTAGGGCTTACTTTTGGTCAATGGCCTCCATGAACTGGCCTATGACAAGAGGGACACTCTGGATGCGCTTGATCTCCTCCTGTGCCCTGACCAGCTCGCGCTTCAGACTCCGCTGCTCGTCCTTGATGTACTCTTCCTGAAGGTGGATGTATCTGCGGCGGTTAGCCGCGTGGTTGCAGGCCAGGGGCACATCGAGGCCCGGCAGCGGCACACGCAGCAGCAGGGGGAGCGGCGGGCGCGAGGCGGCGACGAGGCGGGAAAACACACGGGCGACGCAGTGAGGAGGCAGCGCTCGAGAGATGCTGTCACCAGGGCAGGGCGGACATGCGGTGGTGGCTTCGGGGATGTTCACGTAGCGCAGACGCGCTTTGCGGACTATGCGGTGCTGAGGAGCGGACGTGGAGCGAGAAGGGCACTGCTGCCAAGCAAGGCCGTCTAGCCGCATCGAGCATGGCCAGCCCCAACGCCATTGGAACTGCCCGCGTCGGTTGCCCGTCGTCACACGGAAACACCACGCTCTCTCCACTTGCTGCATCCCGCTGGGCCTGCCACTCCTCGCTCGCTGCTCGCTGCTCGCTGCTCGCTGCCAGCCCGCCCGCTGCCTTGACTCGCTGGCTGCTGCGAGCCCGGAACAAGGGTGCGCGCCCATTCATTCACCCACACCACGCCCACAGCGCCCCAGCATGCGGGGGCCCCAATTCTGCCCTGCCGTCTTCTTTCGTGACCGAAGCTGTGCCCTCGCCCGCCGCTGGCTCGTCCCGCCAGTGCAGAGCCCAGATATTGCCAAGTTGCTTTTTGCCTTGAGTCGCCCCTGCGACGTGTGTTGTCTGGAGCCCGCCCGGTGCAGCGACATGATGCTCGTCACGTGACGTCGGCATTAGCGCCTCCACCGCCGATCGCGCCTCCATGAGATGAGCTTCACCAGCATTGCGACCGACAAGCACCGCCTCATCCATTTCCAACCACGTCAACCCGCCCGCTGCACCTGTCGCGCCCGCCCCAGCCGCTCACACACAGCCTGCATTCATACCACCACCGCTGAACACCCGTCATCATGGCTGACGCCGCCGTCGAGAACCCGGCCACCACAGTCCCGCCGCACAAGAAGCAGCTCCCATCATCGATACCAAACTTTGACGCCCTCGAGGGCTTCTCCACCGAGGGCAACGACGACTACTCCACCTTCAAGAAGCTGCAACGGCAACTAGAGTGCGTGCCTCTGACGCCTGCTGCCGTGCTGCTGCTGCTGCCGCCGCCGCGACCACAGGCGCGTCGTCCATCTCGACATCAACCCGCCTGCTGACGCCCTGCCCGCCAGCTGCTTGCCGGCCCCCCGCCGTGCGCACATCCTCACGCGCCTTTCGCTCGCTCCCGCCGCGGCCCACGCCCTCGCCCTCGATTCGCGGCCGTCGCGCTCCACCATGGACTTCCAGTCGCCCCAGAACGCCATGTACGACGCCGCCAGCTTCATCGACCCCAGCGCCATTGCCAACCCCCAGATGAACGGCGCGCGCCCCTACAACCCAATGCCCTCGGTGCCGCAGAAGCGAGACTCGACCGGCGCCAGTCTGTCGCTCTCGCGCTCCCAGACGCCCTCGCAGCAGCCCCAATTCGGCTTCCAGCACCCCCAGGCCTTTGCCAACACACCCTCGCCCACCATGCAGAGCCAGCACTTTGCGCCCGGCCAGATGGGCGGCCAGCGAATGCAGACGGCGTCGCCCGCGCAGAACCCCCACGCGCCCCAGATGTCGGCCATGGGCTTCCAGCCCTCGCCCATGAACCAGGCCTTCAATGCAAACGCCGCCAGCCAATTCCCCGTCCAGTCGGTCCAGCTGTCGCAAAACCTCCAGAGCCGCCAGCAGGAAGCGCAGAGGCAGTACGCAATGCGCCTGCAGCAGCAGCAGCAGCTTGGCAACCTCGCCGCGAGCAACATGGCAGCGCGCCAAGGGCAGCAGCCAGGAGCTCAGATGCCGGGCGCAATGCAGACGCCCATGCAACATCCTGGCATGCAGCCCAACATGATGCAAGGCCAGGCACAGCAGCAAAACCCCCAAGTCCAATACCAGCAGTTTCTCAAGAACGTAGCGGCGCTAAACGCCCAGCAGAACCGCCCATTCAACCCCCAGCCCCAGTGCGCCGGCCGTGTCATCAACCTCCAAAACCTCTACGCCGCCGTCATGCGCTTCAAAGGCTCGCGATTTGTCACCCAGCAGAACGGCTGGCAGCGGATCGCGCAAATGATGAACATACATCCGCAGCAGTTTCCCACTGCGTCCAACGAGTTGCGCCAAATCTACGAAGCAAACCTGCTCTTCTACGAGACTGCCTATCTCCAACGACAGCAGCAGATGCAACAAAAAGGCATGCCTCCGCAGGCGCAAATGGGCCAGATGGGGCAAATGGGACAAATGGGGCAGATGGGGCAGATGGGCCAAATGGGGCAGATGAACCAGATGGCATCTATGGGCCAGCAAATGTCGCCAACAAGACCCACGATGCCAGGGCAGCAAAACAACATTGCAGGACACCAGGAATACCTCCAACAGTTGCAAAGGTCACAGGAAACACTAAAGCAGCAGCAGCAGCAGCAGCAGCAACAGCAACAACACCAGCAGCAGCAACAAGCTCAACAACAACAAGCACAACAACAGGCACAGCAACAGGCACAGCAACAACAGGCACAGCAAGCGCAGCAGCAAGCGCAGCAGCAACAACGGCAATCGCTTCCACCTACGCAACAGCCACACCCATCCATCGATCCATCGGCACACCCACCACAATCCACACCGTTACAAAGCAGCACAGTACTCCCGAGCGTCAATGGCACCACACCACAAGCAGACGCCAATGCGCGAAAGAGTCTGAGCAGACAGCTAGAGGGAACTCCGGTTCCAGGAAAAGACCCTAACCAGGTACAGCCTTCACCGATGAAGCAGGAGGAGAATGCTGCCGTTGTAGACCCAAATTTGGTCATGATGGAGGGACCCGAGCGGCGGAAACCCGTGATTGAGCAAGACGATGGCACAAGAGTCTACCAACCCGCATGGCGAACTCAAGATACCTGGGGCGGTCTCGACTTTGACTCGGACAACTTCAAGAACATGATTGACACCATCACAAATTACAAGCCAAATGTTCCATTGCTGCCCGAAATGGGCGTAATCGACATCCGGGCCATTACCATGAGCATCAGGTCGGGCTTGCCCGGTGAGGCGCGTTTGGGACTCGACACCCTCACAAGGATAACCTACGACAACACTATCCAGTTCAACCTAGCGCATTGCGAGGACCTGACAGAGGTATTGGTGGAATATGCGGAAGACCTGTTGGAAACATTAGGAAACGACAATCCCGAAGTCACCGACATCATCGACCTCATGTCATATGAGGATGTTATGCATCATTGCCGCGAAGAAGCTGCGTCACTGCTGGAGCTCCCACAAGTCGGCACCACAGCACATCATCTCAACCGCACTGCTGATCGGCTGCTGGCCATAACAACCATCTTCCGCAACCTATCCTTCCTTGAGGTCAACCATGACTCCCTGGTCAGCCCTTCTGTTCTCAAATTCCTCGCAAACTTCATACGGCTTGTCGGTACACGAGTACTGCTTCTCCGCTCACACATGAACACGTTTGAGTTCATGAAAGACATTGTTACCTTCTTCTCCAACACCAGCGCCAAGGTCGTTCTACCTAGCCGTGAAGACGCTTACGCCGTGTTGCACTTCCTTTGTGCGTTTGCCCCGATGCCAAGGCCTACCGAACCCGTCAAATTCACGCCTTTTGACCCTCTCATCCACCGCTATCTTCCATCCGCTGTTGACAGTCTGGCAAAACTGCTTGCTCGTGACGACCCCAACCGGACATATTACAAGCAGATTTTCATCAATGAGGCCACAGCTACACCGGCATACGACCTCCTCACTCGGTCCTTTGCTCTCGCCATCTCGGTCGTGCCTGATCGCAACTACATTGAGAATAAGATGTACCAAATGAAGGAACCCCGGCCAAAAGAGGTGCGTATGTTTGAAGCGCGCATTGCAGAATCGCGAAAGGCATACCTCATGCAAGGCATGCTTGCCGCAGACATTCTCGCCAGCCTAGCCCCTGGACCGGAAACTGGCATCTGCCGCGCATGGCTTGAATCGGAAGACGGCTGGGCGAACACACTACTCAAATTCGCCATGTCCCTCTCAGCTACCGACGCTGCTATTCCTCACCCTCCCCCACCACCGAACCACCGCGGCCCACGACCCATGGATCACGACCGGGAAGGCTTCCAACTCATTGTCCACCGTGCGCTGTCGACGCTTAAGCGCCTAGGCGACAAGTCAAAGGGTGGCGAACCGCTAGTCAAGGGTGTGCAGCAAATGAACGGACACATGGACCATGATATGGACGAGGACGAGGACGAGGACGACATGGAGATTTTCAGTTTCAACGGCAGTTCATGGAGAGTAAAGGCGGACATTTTACCGCGCAAAGAGACGCTACTAGGTGCACTGTTGACGGCGCAGCTAGACGTCCGCAGTGTAAATCAATTCTGCAAAATTGGCTATCTGGATGACTAGAAAGGAAAGCAAACCAAACCAAGGAAATGATGGCAAAGACTTTTATTTTTTTTCATTCGGATTTGGATGGATGAATTGGTTGGAGGGGGGGGGAGGGAAGGTGGATTGTGCGAGGTTACAGCAAGTTAGTATGGGAGAGAAGAAAGAGAGAGAGAGAGAGAGCGATAGAGCAGATGGATGGAGATGCAAGTGTCCTCTCTCTCTCTCTCTTTTTTTCTCTCTCTTTCAACATCACAAAGTCTGTTCCTCTTTTGTATGTGTGTCTCTCCTTGTTTTTTTCTTATGTTCCAGTTCCCCTTTTTTCTCCAGGAGTTATATTTTTTTTCTTCTTTCTATAAAAACGGATATATGTCTAAAGGGAGGCAGGCGCGGGGTCGGGGTCGGGATTGGATGGGGAGGGGAGGCGGGGGGGGGGGAGAGAAAGGGGGAAATCTTCTTCGGCTTGCTGCATTTTGCGTATGTATGTGTATCTATCTATCTATGTCTCTGTGTATCTGTGCTCCTCTCTCTCTCTCTCTGTGTGTGTTTCTGTCTCTGTCTCTGGCTGTCTGTCTAGCCATCCGGATGATATGTACTTACATTCTCCCCTCCCTCCTTGTGTCTCCGACAGGCATGTTAGTGCGTTGTACGCAGACGAAGATGAAGAAGAAGAAAAATAATAATAATAATAACCAGAAACAAGTATCATTGCAACTCTGTGCCCGCTAGCCACTAACAATCAATATATAACTTCACATATCCGTACTTCACTTAATTGTTTAATATGCAATACCTGATTATTTCATCATGTAGTAAAGGGAAAAAAAAGCGCGTAATCTGGTTAAAACTGGCTGGCTGTTAATCGGGTCATTTGGCTAGTTGGCTACGTACCAGAAATCAAAGTGAGATGGACATCTTGATAATGCTTATGTGGAATATCACACATATACATACACACACACACACACATGCTCTCTCTCTCAATCACCCTCTTACTACATACCTTATCCACCCACTCCACACAAGCCGTGCCAGCCAAGTCAAATCGCGCTAGACACAAAAGCCTTGAAAGCAAAAAAGTATTCATGATTTCCAAGAAGATACCAGTATGACCGCATTCTTATGCCTAAATGAGTACTAGAAGTAATACACAAATAAGTAATTATCATCATCATGAAGAGTATTAGAAGTAGTAAGTAGTAAGTAAGTAAGTATTTTGCAAACACGACCTCTCTCATTCATTCTATCTTCGTTTCTTGCATACAGGGTACTAATACTACTTAGCGCAAGAAAGACGAAAGAAGAAACTGGAAAAGAAGGAACAAGGAACAAGAAATAAGTCCCACAAGAATAACACCAGCGCTATGCAGAAAACCAATCATTTCTTGAGAGAGGTTTAGAGAAAGAAAAAAAAAGGGTGAGTTAGAAAACGAGAAGCAGGTTAGGGGGGGAACATGTATACATAACGGGGGTCCCGGGACCGCACCGAACCGTCTCTCCTCGTACATGAGTCCTCGATAAAGGCAATAAACGACTGACAGTATGTGTGCGTGTGTGTGTGAAACATTCTCGTTTCATCCCTGTGCGTATAGATATGCAATGAAGAAGTGTGTCATGTTTGATCCTCCCCCGAAGCGTTTCTGTATATGTCCATGGTGCAATTACTTTTGTTTTTACTACGTTGAAGTGTGGTGGTGAAGGACCTGGTCAATGGGAGTGAACTGGTAGAAATGTTAAACCCTGGGAACATGAGACAGAGCCGTTACGTGTGTTTGTGTGTGCAGTTCCTAAGAATAGCGCTCATTCTAAGATGGCGAGCCGGCAAATGAAGGGGTGGCGGGGACTGTGGCTGTGGCGGGCGACGCGGCATTTGCGTCTTTGAATGTGTCGTTTTGCTTTCTTTGGCCGTTGAGGAGGGGACAGAGCCTGGTTAAGAAACTTTGGTTAGCGGCTCATACACTAGAACAAATGGAGTACGGGCATATACGTACTTCTTGTTGGTCTTGATGTGGCCCACCTCGCCGCAGTTAGCGCACTTGCGAGGTGTTGCTCCGCCCTTTCCTGGCCCACCCGTAGCACTGCCTCCTTCGCCCGTCTGTAGTTTGTGTAGACCCTTTGCCTTTTCGCGACCCTCGCGGCGCTCAATGTTGCGCGCAAGACGGGCCAGTTCCGCTTTGAGCTTGATTTGCTGCGCTTTGTCGACCTCAGGATCACCGGTAGGCTTGATATCCTCGATACGCATGTTGAGTAGACGCTGTTGGCGCTTCTCCTTGATGTAGAGCTTGATGACAGCGGGATCGGTAATGGTTTCGGTAACCTCTTCATACTCGTCGAACTTGTTCTTGATGGTCCTTGTGATCTTGAGCTTCTTGCCGCGGTTGTCTGCATTGCTATTGCGGGACATTTGTGACATGGTCTCGTCATCAGGCCGCATTGTAGCTGGAGTTCCAACTTCGGAGCGCTGGCGTGGGAGGTGGTTGCGAGGCATGGCCGTGTCAACATCATCTTCTGTATCGGAAGGCGGGTTTTGAGCAGACAGACTCTCCTTCTGTTTGTTCCAGATACGCTTGATGGCATTCTCGTACATGACCTGCTGGCGCTGGACATTGTAGCTGTGACCGCCAAGCTCCTTCATCTTCTTGCTGTCAAGACGATCAGCTGCACTCTCGCCCACATCTCTGAAACCGCCCTTCATTGAGACCTTGATGAAACTGAATCCCAAGCCTTGCCCAGTAGGATCACCCTCGCCGTGGAGCTCCAGCATAGCCTTGCCAGCACATGCATTCAGGAAGTTCTTGGTGGTATTCCATGGCGCCAGCTTGACATCGGCATTCTCGTTGTCGGCTTCTTCGTCGTCGTCACGAATTTCGTTCGACTTGATACCGGCATCCTGAAGCTGCTTGTCACCAGCATGCATGGAGTCGATCAAGCAGACATCTTCTGGTTTTATCCAAGTGCGCAGAATGGGCTCCTCGGGCACAGTCTCTCCAGCCACAGGTTCCCAAGTGCCAATGTCCTTCTGGTACTTCATGATTTCTCGCATTCGGGAACGGTTTTGCGCAATTTCAGTGCCGGGAAGATGCTGCTTGATCATCTCGTTACTAACCCAAGGCTGTCGCGCTCCCTTCTGTTGTCCCTTTCGGTACAATCGGAACGCCAGCATCTTGAGTCGTTTCTTCGACGCCTCGGTAACCTTGCGGGCATGGGTACCAGGTACCTCTACCGACGGGAACTGTTGACCGACCACCATGAGGTTGGGGATAGTCCGCATGTAGTATCTGGGGCCATTAACCCCAGTCCAGCTTCTGCTGACAAGGAAGTCGGTCTCTTCGGGCTTGTGCTTGAACACGGGCGCTCTGTACATGGCGTTGTGGAGTGTTAATACTTGCTGGCCTGGCTCGACTTGGCCAAACAACGAGAAAGGACTCTTGTCCTGTGGCAACAGAATTGAAGTCTCTCCGATGCCGTCTTCTGGTTTCGGTCGTGCTGTATCTTCCATGTCCTTTCGCCTGTAGTAGTTGAGAATCTTGATGCCCATACCAAAGTTGGACAAAGTCGTGGGGTACTCCTCCGAGTACTCGGCGAGGAGAAGATCCGAGTTATCGCCAATGTTGAGATCCTCTGCAGATGCAAAGGCTTCAGACGGCTTGAGGTTCTTCTTGTGTTTCCTCTTGATAGACTTGAGCGACGAGATGCTAGCTCGTTCACCAGGCTTGAATGTGATAGTGGGACGATGGAACGATCGAAGCTCGCGGTCGGAAAGTGCAACCTTGTAGAAAGGATATTGCAGCTTCAATGCGGGCAAACTGTGCTCAACATTCATGTGGCCAATAGTGCTACGGACCTTCTGTTGGCTGCTCTCCTTGAGCGCGTCGTATGCCTCGTCGTTGGAAATGTTGTAGCGCTTGAACATGGGGTTGGCAAGACTACCACGGCTGTCACGCTTGAGCCCCAGACCCAGTGTCCGAGGCTTGGGCGGCTCTGCACTTGGTTGTTGTATATCCAGCAGGAGGTGAGGGTCGTTCATGTCCAAGAGAATCTTCTTTGACAGCTTCGACGTCTCCAGCTCTGGGTCGTCCCACGTAGGCAGGTCCATGTGGTCGTAGACGGAAAACTTGATGAGCTGGTCCTGGTCTCCTAGTCTGCGCTTCTTGTTGGGTGACTGGCCAGCGTTGACGCTTTCAGGCGGGGTAGGTGCTTGGCCACGGTCGGATAGTGTTGTAGCACTTGTATCGTCTGGGACTTCCCAGTCCTCGCATGCGATTCTGAGGTCACTCCATGATACCTTGCCAATCAACTCGTGGTCGTCAATGGTTTCAAAATGATCAAAATCCATATGCTCGTTCCCGTCACCGTCTTCTTCCGTTGTGCTTGTTATATGTATGATGCCGCCTTGCTCTTCCTCTTGTTGCCGACCAGATTTGGGTGTAGTTGCGGGGTGTAACCGGAAGCTCTTCTCCTGATCTGTCGCCAAATCCAGAGTAAGCTTGTTCATCTGGAAAGGCCTCGGTGCCTTGGGCGGGACTTTTGGTATGTAAAAGGCACGTTTTCGAGGTACCAAACTGAAGAAACGTGGGGGTTTGTCTGCCTCAAAATTGGGCCAGATCTTCTCAAATTCCTCCCTTGATGTCTTTTTCGGTGCGTCTGCTGGCTCATCTTTCTTGCGAAGAGACTGGGCAAAAAGAGCCAGTTGCTCGCGCACCTCTGGGTCTTCTTCCTCGTCTATCTCATCCTGAAGTGTCGTCTGTGTGGTGTTGCGGTTGCTCGGTTGCGACTTGTCCTGTCCAGCACTGCTGAAGCCTTCCTGGACCAGATCCTCGATTGACGTGAGTGGGTCGTCTTTGTGCTGTGTGCTTTCCTGTGCGGGATCCGAGCGATCTGGGTCATCACCAAAGAGGTCGTCCTGTGCGTCGCCATCGCCAAAAAGATCATCCATATCCACATCGCCATTCTCCAGCGTGTCGCCAGAATCCTGCATTGTCGTCCCGCTGAAGTTGACGCCGGCATCGTCGCCTCCGGTTGACTCAAACTCTTCTTCCGGCAGGTCGTCATCGCCAATGTCTTCGTAGTCTACGGCATCATCGGCCTTTTCGCCAGCCTCGAGCGGGCGCGAGGCGATGCCATTTAGCAAATCCTCCTCGCCTTCGGCTGCGCCCATCTGCGCCTGGCGCATGATCCTCGCAAAGTCTTCATCTTCGGCTGCGTCGCTGAGGCTGTTGGCCGTGGGGTTGTGTTCGTCATCCATGGTCGCGTGTGGTGCAGGCGTTGTTGAAAAGTGGAGTCGCTTTTTGGCGGGTTCGCTGTCGTCGTAGATATCAATAGGGCCGCGCAACTGGGGAGCGAGAGGCCAGAGTGCGCCGCGGAGCGGGTGAAGGGTTGAGGGGTGCGCGTGCCGTCATTCACGCTGCCACCGCGCTCGGGATCCGGTGCCGCGATGCAAGAGTAAACGGACTGTGTTGGGGTGGTCCTCGCGATTGTGGTCGTACGCGGCTCCGGGTGATTCGAGTCGCTGCAGTCGGTGTAGCCAACAGGCGTGTTGTGGTGTGCAACCCATGGAGAAGTCGCGGTCCAAAGGTTCAGAGCCGCGGCGAATGGGTCCGTGCGCCGCTCCAATAGCGGCCGCCCGACTAGTGCGATGGGCCGCGGGCATCGGTTTTCACTCCGCACTCCGCACGGAGCATTGCTAGTAGGTTTTGTTATGCTGCACGTGGTTTGGAGTGTTTGGATTCAACATGCGGTTGTTCTATTTCTCATGATATGCTTCCCAAGCTTTGTAACTACTCATTCAAGGCAGTATCCACCGCTATGTCGCACTTAACTGTATGCGTATTTGGGTAAACTATAGTCAACTTGGGCCGCTCAGTCTCCGCCCTCTCTGTATGCACTAAGTTCTTTTTTACCATCAAGTCGAGTTTAGGGTTGAGCCGCGAATACGCCGAGCACATGACCGACCAACCTGTACATCAACCATGCTGGCATCACCATCATAACAAAGCAGTCGTGCAAGAAAAACTCCAACATTATATTCATCATCAAGTACCAGCCCGCATGCATCTCAATGTGGTATCATAGCCCTAGCTCGCCCCATATCAATGCGTGTCTCATGATCCCGTATGCCAAACACCCAAACGCCCACATCGAAAGCCAGAACGTAACTAGTCATTCCGATCATGCCTGGGCGTTGATGTAATCCTTATTCTCTATCGTAACACTCTTCGTCTGTCATCTTGTTAGCTGAGATCCAGACTACCATGCACTCAACATGTGACTTACCATGTGATTAACCTTGTAAACACCAACCAGCCGACTCGCAAGCTCAAACATGTTGTTCCGGAGCGAAATGACAATGAATTGCGCATTCTTAGTCCTCTCTTTGATGTAGCTGGCGACAATGCTCACGTTGCGGAAATCCAGCGCGGCGTCAATTTCGTCCATGACGTATAACGGCGTGGGCTTGTAATGGTGCAGTGCGAACACCAAGGCAAGAGACGATAGCGTCTTCTCTCCACCAGACAAGTTGCTGATATTTTTCCACGACTTCTTAGGAGGCATGACGGAGAAACGGATACCTTCCGAAAAGGCATCGAGCGTGTCTTCGTACTCGAGTTCGGCATTACCACCCATGGTAATCATCTGGTACATCTCCTTGAGACGTGCCGTGATGATATCGAACCCTTCCTTGAAACCCTCTTTGCGCAGGCGTCGAAGCTCTTCGCATTTGTGCTTTGCCGCGTCGCGCGCACTGACAGCCGTAGCCAGATCTGCCGATCGCGCAGCGTGCTCTTCTACGCGCTTGCGGTATTCGGCGAGAACAGATAGATCGACTTGTGTGGACTCATTCTTCTTCTCTAGATGCGCGATTTGCTCTTTGAGAGAGGCCTTGTCCATGTCCTGAAGCTCGTCTTTGCTGTACGACGGAAGCCCCTCACCGCCACTGCCGCCTTCTTGCTCTTCGCCAAGGTCCGTTATATTCTGATACGAGAGCTTGCTCAGCTTGTCTTGGAAGTAGGCCTGCTTTTTCTGGAACTCGTGCAGTGACTTTTGTCCTTCTTCGAGCTTGTTGCGCATCTCAATCTCGACAGCACGCGTCTCGTTGAGTTCCGTCATCTTCTCGTCAAGTTCTTTCTTGAGCACTTGGAGCTCTTCTTTCCTCGTCTCAAGCTCCTCCTGTGCTTCTTCAGCTTGTTGCCGGATTCCAGACACGTCTCGTTGCTGAGAGGCCATGTCCTCTTCCACCTTTTCTGCGTCGGCTGCCAGCTTCTCTAGTTCTTTAACAGCGTCGTTGTATGCCTTTTCGTGCTTGGCACGCTGTTTTTCCTCTTTGGACTTGGAAACCTCGGCGTTGGAAGCCTGCTCAGTAAGAGTGTCGATTTGGCCTTTGAGACCGTCAACCTTGGCCTTTTGACCACGTAGCTTGACACCTCCAATTTCCATAATCTTGTCCTGCAGGGCCTTGATCTCTGCCTCAATGTCTTCCGTCTCCGAACGGAGTTTGGAGACCTCCTTCTCCATCGAAGCAATACTCTTCTCCAAGGACGAGATGCGGCCCTTGTCCGTCTTTGTGGATGCTTGTTCACTACCAAGCTCCTTGATGCGACGCTGACAGTCGGCAATATTGCGGTCGAAGCTCTCCAACTCAAGTGCGAGTTTTTGCGCTTTGGTGTCTAGCTCAGGAATTTGCTGGTTGAGGTCCCTCAACGTCGTCTCTAGCTCCCGCTGCTCTTGCTGGAACTCGGTGAAGGTCTGTTCGAGCGTATCTCGGTCATGTTCCAGCTTGGTGACCTGGTCTCTCGTAACATCTGACGCAAGCTTGGACGACATCTTGCCCTTTACTACTCTGCTTCCACCACCACTCATAGTACCCGCTGTGTCGATGAGTTTGCCGTCTAGGGTCACGACTCGCCATCGCTTTGCGCCATACGCGATACGCTCAGCCTGGTCGAGGTCTTCGGCGACCAGGGTGTTTGTCATGACCTGGAAGAAGGCAGGCCTAAGCTTTTCGTGTTTGGGTTTGACGAGGTCGAAAAGACGTGGCACATTCTCTGGAGTCTGCACGGGCGACATGTCGCGCTTGGCAAGACGATCCAACAGTATGAAGTTGGCGCGGCCCAGGTTGTTCTTTCGCAGGTACTCGATGCACTGCTGGCCAGACTCTACGGTGTCAACAACCATGTTGTCTAGTTGTGGACACGCAGTAGATATGGCAACATCATACTTTTGATCGATGGTACCCAGATTACCCAGGCGGCCGTGGAAGCCATCAATACGTCCAGACTCCTTCAAGCGCATAAGGCCTGTCAGAACATTGCCCTGAGTCTGAGCAGAGGAAAGGCTTGCACGAGCCTCGTCAGCCTTTGCTCTTGCACCCGAAAGCTTCGACCTCAACAGAGGCTCTTTCTGGGTGATCTCCTCAAGTTTGGCTTGTATCTTCTGGATGCCCTTCTCCACCCGCTTCCTTTCAGCTTTGCATTCGTCAAGCTCTGCGGCCTTGGCCTGTTTTGCCTCCTCCAAGCCTTCGATCCTAGCTTCAACGTCGGCAATACCCTTGGCACCCGCATTCTCGCGCTCAAGCATGATATCGAGCTCGCTTTGTGCGACCGCGATGGCTGACTGCTTCTCGTTGATCTTGGCACTCCAAGGCTCCAACGACTTTTGCTTTGCCGCAATCTCGTCTGAGAGACCTTGTGTCTTGCCTGCCAAGCTCTTTCGAACAGCTTCAAGCTCCTTTTCTTCAGCCTTCATGCTTTCCTCGAGCTCAGCCACCTCTTCAGCGTAGCGCTCGAGATCTGAGGCATACTGCTTCGAGAGACTTTCTGCTTCCGACCGGCCATAGTAACTCGCCTCCTTGGTCTTCTCAAGCTTCTTTTGCTTGCCTGCAAGGAACTTTTTCTTTTCTTCAAACTTGACGGCCTCCTTGTCGATGCGAGCTACCTCCTTCTGAAGCTCTTGGTTCTTCTTTTCGAGCTGCTCACACTCCTTCACGCCCTTCTTGTACTGGCGCTCGAGCTCTTTAATCTCCTCTTCGCTGCCCTGATGCCTTTGCAGTTCTTCGTCTAACTGAGTCTGCAACTGAGTCACAGATTCCTGAGTGACCTGGATGTGATCATCAAACTCAGAGACGTAGATTTGGTAGAGGGTTGACTGCTTCGAAGCGAGCTCGTTCTCGTCGCGAAGGTACCCAAGAGCTTTATCCTTTTTCTCTTCCAAACCACTCTTCTCCTTTTCCACATGCTGCACACGATTGCTCTTCTCTCGGCAGACTTCGTTAAGGGTTTCGACTTCCACTTCAGCTTCTGCAATCGGCGTCTTGTACTTTGATGTGCCGATAATGTCCTCCAAATACTCAAGAAGACCATCATCATGCTCGCCCTGGGCTTTTGGCTTCATCTGCGCAATGGATTCAACCTCACCCTGCAGGATCAGGAATCGCTTGTGGTCCAGGTCAACTCCTCGGTCCTTGAGCAGATTCGTGACAATGGTGAACGTCGACTCTTTCTTGTTGATGTAGTATTTGCTCGAGTTGTTTTTGAAAGCCCTTCGTGAAATTACAAGTTGGGAGTCTGGGATAACCTCATGCCCACCATCTGGAAGGTCCTTAACTTCCTGGAAATGAACCTCAACTTCGCAGAAGTCCAGATCTGGAAATGCAGCCGAGTTGTGAATTAAGGCCGAGAGTTTGCTCTGCCTCATCTTATTTGCGCGAAAACCGAAGACGAAAAGTAGCGAGTCGATGACATTGGACTTGCCGGAACCATTAGGTCCAACCACAGAGGAGAACGAGGCATGGAACGGCCCCACTGCTTGCCGGCCAGCATAACTCTTAAAGTTGTTCAGGATAAGCCAGGTAATGACTGTCCGCTGCTTTGGTGGCGCAGGCTCGTGCAGCGACGGTATGGCGGCCGCTCGCCTTTTCACCACAATGTCAATGGGCTCGAGCATGGTTTGCTGTATGTTGGCCTCCTCTGACACCTTAGCCGGCGGCTGCGGTTGCTCCAGTGGCCGAGCCTCTACGTCTGGTTCTGGTATGGGGGTCTCCTCCTTGGGCTCTATCTGTGTAGTCTCAGCAGCCGGTTCAGGCTTTGCTTCCAGCTCAGGCTCAGGTTGTGGCTCAGGCGTAGGTGTTCGATCCTCCATCACCGTATCCCCGTCGGCATCGGCTTGTGGCGAACTAGCTACGACTGTAGCTTCCGAGGCCTGCTCGGGTTCAGGTGATACTGAGGGCTCAGGTGTGAGCAACTGAGATGTTTCCTCGACCGGTTCTGGGACGGGAGCGACCGATGAGCGGGGCTTCCGCCCACGCTTCTTGGGCATTGCTTTGGAGGGCGACGCAGCCCTGGAGCTCTCCACCGCAGGCGCGGGCATCTGTGTAGCCTCCGCCGACTCGGTAACACGAGTTCGCCGCCTCGTAGTCGGCTTGGGTGTCGCATCTGCATCCTGGGCTGGGGCCTTGCGCGGCCTTCCCCGTCCTCGCCCAGTCTTGAGTGGCGCTGCTGCAGGTGCTGGTGTGAAGTCCTCCTCTTCCTCTTGCTTCACCTCGGGGGTCGGTGTCCTGTTCTCCTCACCGTCGGAATCGTCAATGACGGGCGCCTTCCGGCGAGTTGCGGCGGCGCGAGTCGACTTTCTGGGCGATACCGATGCCATTGTCGCTGTCGCGGTGTGTGTCTGTGTGTGTTAGTGGTGGTCTAGAGGCCGTTTCTGCTCCTCGTGTCTTGGACCGGCCTGCAGCCTGCACCTTCCGTTGTTTGTTTTCGTGGAAACCACGCTAAGCACGGGTCAGCCCCGCTCCCCACGCGTCGCCTCAATCCCACGTCCCTCGAATGATACAGCCCCTCATCATGAAGAGGAGTTTGGCCTTTGGCGACTCAGCGGCCCGCATTTGGGAGCCCTCAAGAGATGTGTGTGGAGTCGTTCCTTGCTAGTTGAACGAAATAGGCTTAACGACGCCTATGTCAACATGTCAACACTGTTTAGGGCGTATCTGCAATGAAAGCAGCCCCGCCGCAATGACACAAGTGCTTGATATATATGTCAGCGCGTCCTCTTAACCGGCTCACCTCACATAAAGACATACGCATCAGTGCCTTCAAGAACCTAGTGTGTCCATTTACACAGCCGCTGCTACTCTGTCTGTTACCATGGCATCTTCCCTTCAGAAATTCAAGCTCGTCTTCTTCGTACCCCCCTCTTCACTTGACGCCTGTAAAACCGCCATTCTCAGTACTGGTGCAGGACGCTACCCTGGCCCAGGCGGATATACCGAAGTATGCTTTACTAGCAGAGGCACAGGACAATTTAGGCCTGGCGATGCGGCCAATCCAACTGTAGGTCTTACTCATCCGGCCAAACACCCAAGCGGATATGGAGTGTGAGACTAACGTGGCTTGACCAGATTGGTAGGGTTGGTGAGCTAGAGGAATTGGATGAGTACAGAGTAGAGACATTGTGTGTGGGACGCGATACGGCTGTCAAGGCTGTCGAAGCACTGAAGAAGTGGGCTCCCTAGACACCAGCATCAAGTAGCAAGTGCTAACCAAACCAGAGCACATCCCTATGAAGAGCCTGTATATGAGGTTTACAAGATGGAGGACATGTGAGAGAGACCATAGTTTGTATAAAACAACTGCATAGTGTACATTAAAGAAGAAGTCACCCAAACAAACATCAAATCTCCTCCTAAACGAGCTCCTCTAGAACCTGCTTGATGATGGGCAAGTCTCTTTCCACCTGCGCCATCCAGTTTGATACTGCAAAACGACATGCCGCTCTTCCTTCCCATGAAGTACCGGAGACGTAAATCTTCCTGGTTGCCTTGATCTTGTCAACAAGTTGCTTGTTCAGCTCCTCATCTTTTGCACGGAAAAGTACAATGATGAAGATGCCGCTGAAAATCTCTTCTTGAGGGGCATCTTTTTGAGGCAACAACTCATACTTGTTGCTTTCTAGAATGTACTGCGCAATCCCACGTGACAGTTGAATCTGGCGCTCAAGCATGTCTTGATACCCCTCTCTTCCATAAGCCACCAGGCTGGCATACACCGGCAAAGCTCTGAACCGTCGAGAGTTTTCTAGGCCAATGTTCAGTGGCGACATGATGCTATCGGGACCATTGCTAGAGGCGAGGTAGGCCGCGTTGGGGTTTTGGAACACGCGCTCAGCCATGTTGCGATGTCTCGAAAAGAAGAAGCCACAATCGTAAGGCACGTTGAGAAGCTTGTGTCCATCGCCGGTTATCGAGTCTGCTAGCTCCAGGCCGGCGCAGGCTTGTATGATGGAGGAATAGGCGGGAGATGAAAGGATTCGACCAAAAAGGCCAAATGCACCGTCGACATGTATCCATGCGCCGTACATGTCGCACAGCTTTCGTAGCTCTTGCATTTCTTCGAGATTCGATGTAGCGAAGACGCCAGTGTTGACTTCGGATGCAGAGATTGCGACAATAGATGCGGCGCCAGGCTGCTCTAAAGACTTTTTGAGCAGCTGCATATCGAATATGTGGGGGGCTTCAGAACGACCCAGGCACTTCACGCTCGCTCTTCCAAGGCCCAAGATACCTGCAGCTTTACTCAAAGACGAATGTGGTACGGTGGTCAATACTTGAATATCATCGATACCAGCTCTTCGCATAGCTTCGACTATGCCGACTTCGCCAACGCTGTTCTCCACGTCTGTACGGTGCGCCGAAGCTTCTGCAACCACATACTCTCGGCCACAAGCGAGACCTAGCACATTGGCTGTTGTGGCACCTGTGGTAAAGATTCGGTGAGGCCATTGCGCAGGCTCGAGATTCAGCAGCTCGCAAAGCAAAGACAAGGCCCGATCCTCTACGTCTGTGGCAATGGTCTCGTTGGGCAAATGAACTTGCACATTCTGATCGTATGCTGTGACCATATTATCAGCAAGGGTTGCTGCCTGATTGGCTCCACCAGTTACAAATCCATAGTAATTGGGTGAACGAGAGGAGGCGTTAAATGATGGGGCTAGATCTTCCCGTAGATGCCGTATGCTTTCTTCAAGGCCTACTCCTTGAGCAGGCAGGTGAGGCTGAAGCTTGGAACGAGCGTCTTTCAATGCATCCCCAGATGGCAAGACATGCTGAGGTGGTGGTTGAAAATGTATTTTTGCAATTTCCGCAACAAGCTGGTCGAACGTTTCCTGGTTTGGGGCTTGCATGGTTAAGGACTGATATCGCCCACAATGTAAGAAGTGAGGTTCAAATATGTAAGGCCGACTTGAAAACGAAATTTAGTCAATGACACCGATTACGTGGAAAAGAAGAAACTGGTGATCTGGTGACACAGAGGCTGAGCGGTTCATCCAAGAGGGAGGCCTGACTCGCATTAAACCTAACTCTTTATGCCTACGAGAAGCGAATCGTGGCCTGTCATACCATACTATAACCAGGTCCGTATGTCGAGAGCACTAATGCGTTTGCGGATAGTGCCAGGTGTTGGTAGCGCCATTTGTGTCGGCATGTCACCCGACCATGGGATTTTAGCGCGTTACCATAGGCGACCTACTATACTTAATATAATTTACGCTAAATATATTAAGCTCAACTTTATACTATATATTAAAATATATTTAAAATATATTTAAAATAGTTTTATAATATATTTATAATATATTTATGATATATTTTATGAAATTTTATTTACTTCAGCTAAAATACCTTTAGTTCTTACTTTCTTTAGTATTAAGTTACTTTAAACTTTTATAAGTTTTTTTTACTAAAATATATTTTTAATATATTACTAATATATTCTAAGGCTTATACTAAAAGTATATTAGCTTTTTGACTATACTGATGAATATAGTAGCTTAGTAGCTTGATATAAGTAATAAAGTTATACTATACTTTAGTAAAGTATACTACTACTAGAATATTAGTAGTAGCACCTTTTATAGTATAAAAACAAATTCTTAATATAACGTGGTTCATAAGCGAGTCGGCCACCCAAGCGAGTCGGCTGTTACACGGGGTTTCCTAACACTATCAGAAACTATACTTACCTAGTCTCGGTCCGGGTTAGGGCGAGGCTATCTTGTGGAAGTATCCGTGAGGTAATTGTCTGGCGATAAGGTGGAGAGAAGTTATAGGAGTTAACCGGGTTGGTAAGACAAACCAATTCTATTGGAAGATAGAATAACTAAGTATCAATCTGTGTAAGAGAAGAACTTATGAGAGTTGACCACAACGAGTGTAATAATGAAATCCAACCCATTCTTATACCTATCGTGTTCTGTCCTGTTCTCCCTCTTCTCCCTTGACATCCTTGTCTTCTGGGAGATGTGGGAGAACGCCTTCTCCCATCCTGGCCCATTATCCCTTCCTTGGCGGGAGAACGGCTCTTGGCGGGAGAACGCATCACGTGACCCCAAGCCCCGCGATGATCATTACCTTCTGACGTGGACGTGGTTGGCCTTCAACCTCGTCGTTCCCCGTCAAGGAGAGAATCCTTCTTGTTACTTGTAACATCGGCCACTTTGTACCGGCGCGTCGACGTTAACACTATAACGCGTTATGTCTTAACCACACAATTATTTGTTAATCTATTCTAAATCTAATCTTTAACTTGCTCTTTTTAACGTCCAATCGCAACGTGTTTAAAGCTAAAGACGTGCTGCTTCTATCTATAACGTGCCTCGAACTACTCTCCAAGACCGACGCGCTAGAAAGCGCTTTCGACGCGACTGCAAACCGAATTCAAAGCGCCTAAATAAGCTAGAAGAGGAGGCTATTGTTAGGCGTATTCTTAAAGAGTCTACGCGAGGATTTGCCCCTATAAAGGCTAAGGTTCGAGCAATAGCTAATAAACTGTTAGAGGAGCGTGGTGGCAACCTTGTTGGTAAGAACTAGGTTGACAACTTTGTTAAGCGGACTCCTGAGCTCTGTACGCGCTGGAGCCGTCCCTATAATCACTAGCGAGCCGCCTGCGAGGATCTAGTGGCTATCCAGCGCTGGTTTGACTTAGTCCAGGCGACAAAGCAGAAGTGGGGTATTGTGGACGATGATATCTATAGCTTTGACGAAACTAGCTTTATAATAGGCAAGATTTTATCACAGTTAGTTATCACAGGCTTAGAAGAATATAGAAAAAAGAAACAGGTACAGCTAGGCAACTATAAGTAGGTTACTATGATCTAAGGCGTGGGCGCGTTAGGTCGCCAAATACCACCCTTTGTTGTCTTTGCGGGCAAGGTGCTTATCAACGTCTAGTTTAAGGATTTGCCTGCTAACTAGGTTCTTAAAGTTAGTCCTAATAGCTAGACGAATAATTAGCTTAGTCTTGCCTAGTTAGAGCACTTTGATACCCATACAAAGAGGCATACTATAGGTGGGTATCAACTGCTTATTATTGACGGCCATGAGAGCCACTGCTCCATCAATTTTCAAGATCTTTGCAAGGAGAAGAATACTATTCTTCTCTGCATGCCTCCACACTCGTCTCACCTGTTGCAGCCCCTTAACGTCGCCTGCTTCTCGCCGTTGAAGCGTAAGTATGGCGACGCTGTTTCAGGCTTGGCACGCAACCGCACCCACTATATTAGCAAGAAAACCTTCCTACTAGCCTTTAAGGCTGCTTTTAAGCAGTCTATCACGAAGGAGAATATCCAAGCTAGCTTCAGAGGCGCTGGACTAGTCCCACACGACCCACAGGCTGTGCTATCTAAGCTTGATGTGGTGGTGCAGACGCCAGTACAATCACCGCGACAGGCAGCCGCCTAGGAGGCGCAGACACCACGCAACGCGCGCGAGGTTAAGGCTTAAAGTACTCTTATTTAACAGAGAGTAAGAAACCGCCCTAGGTCTTCTGCAAATTCTCTTAACGAGAAGGTTGTGCAGCTAAGTAAAGGGGCTCAGCAAATAGCACATAAGATAACGCTTATAAGGGAGGAAGTAGCTGCTCTTTAAGAGGCTCTAGACACAGCAAATAAGCGTAAGAACCGCAAGCGGCGATACGTACGGACAGAAGAGACTCTTACTGTAGGCGAAGTACAAGAAGTATTAGCTGAACAGGCGGGTAGCAGTCGTGGTGATGGTGAGAGTGCGTCGAAGAGGGTGCGAGGAGAGCGGCGGTGCGGGCGTTGCAAGCAGACTGGACACAACGCTCGTACCTGCGCAGTTAAGATAGATAGTGCAAGTGATAGTAGCGATTCTGATAATTAATTTGGTATATTGCAATAGTTTATTGACTGTGATAAAAGACTGTGATAACGTGTTGAAGTTGACGCGACGGTATAAAGTGGCCGACTCGCTTGGGTGGCCGACTCGCTTAACTAGCCCCACCACAAAGTGCGCGCGACCACAAAGTGCGCGCGCGCCTTACAACCACCTCAACCTCAACGCGTCGTATCCCCACCACTATGGCTAATATTGAGGCTGCGCTTGCAGCTATTAATGCCCTAGGACCTGATGAGCCTTTTTCGTATATAGATATTGCAAAAAAATATGGTGTTGTTCGATCTACGCTTACCCGAAGACACCAAGGCCTACACGCCTCACGCGCGATAGGTGGCCAAAAACGGCAGCTCCTCCACCCACAGCAGGAGCAGGCCCTAATCGCCTATATCAATTGACTAACAGATAGAGGCTTACCACCTACTCAGCCAATGATACGCAATTTTGCCTCACAGATCGCCAAGACTGAGGTTGGAGTACACTGGGCTAGTCGCTTCGTCCAGCGCTATCCTGATCAACTTACCTCAAGGTGGGCAAAAGGCCTTAATAACTGTCGCCACAAAGCAGATTCAAGAAGCAAATACAACCTCTACTTTAGCCTCCTACGCGATAAAATTAATCAATATCACGTCGAGGCGCGTCATATCTACAATATGGATGAGAAGGGCTTCATGCTTGGTATCGTAAGTCGTTTAAGGAGGATCTTTAGTAAGGCCTCGTACGAGGGCATAAGGAGGAGGACTACGATACAGGATGGCTCACGCTA